GGAGAATCTCTGCAGTAGTGTATGTGAGGATTGCCGGCCGGCTGACCACCAAGTGACCCTCATAAATTTGACCCATTCTTACTTATTCCTATCAATAAGCCGATTGTAGCAATCAGGTTGACCTTGGAAGCCTAAGTAGCAAAGGCGCGATAAACAGACAAGGGTGAGATAGGTTTCGGTCCATTAAGTCATATGCACCTTAACTCAACAATAAAAGCGATAAAGTTGAAATAAGCCATACCAAATCCGGCTGTACCGATGGTATTCCAACGTGGCGTAGTCCCGCGTATCTGTGCACCTGGTAGTGCAGCAGTTGGCATGAATGCACGCTGATTCTGAAGCGTGGACGAGACGAAGAAACCGCCGTTGCCTGGGGTGTACACCGTTCCGGGCATTCCACCAGCACTGTGCATACGAATTGATGCCAAACGCTGCATGTACTGCGACGCAAGTTGTGCTTTACGATCCTCCTTGCGCTGTGCCAGCGCGACGTACAGCGGCTTCGAGCACATCATTTTGCCATTCATTTCAGTGACTGCCTAAATAATAATTACATATTTAGATTTACGCCGTCAAGTACCTTCTATATGTTTAGTTTTCACAGTCACCTTTTACTCTGACTAAGTTAAGGCGTATATGACTTAATGGACCGAAATGTCTTATCTCACTCCTGCTTTCTTGGTTCGTACCACTCAAGCTCAGATGGACAGAACGTGGGACAGCGTTTTCTTCATATGGATTTGTATCCCGTCGTGCCTCTGACACTGTCTGGTTCGTTGCTACTCCCAAATCTCGATGAGAGACCTGTATGAAATTTTTGCGGACAACTTCGAACAATGTTCCTCCCTCCTCTTCGCAAATTTTCGTAACAATCGCTATGCCTGTGTCCACAATTCCTAAACTCAAGCATCCCCAACTAGTATTAACGGAAGACATACATCGCCAACTGCGCCTTCACCCTTCCGTCACTCTCTATCCTCAGGGTTCCCCTCCCCCGTCCCCGACCCTTCCTCTCATATTTAATGCTATAACCAGCCCCTATACAAATAAGGGAAAATTTATGCAAGCTTACTTTTGTCGCTTCATCCGGTTTCTCGAAGCAGACGAAACCAAATCCCTTGGAACGGCCGTTGTCGTCACACATCACCTTGGCCGATGTAATTTTGCCGTAGGCCTCGAAATTCTGCTTGAGAACCTCATCGTTGACGGTGTCATCCAGATTTTTCACGTAAAGGTTCACACCCTGGTAACGCTGCATACGCTCCACCTTCTGCTGCTCGTAGCGACGTTTCAGCTCTGCGGAACGTTCCGTCTTTTTCTGCGCTCGGCAAACATATAGTTTACGCTCCGAATCCGGAAGCTCATACTCATGCATTTCCTGCACCGCCTGAAAATAACAAGTGTCGCTAAGGCAGATACTCTGTGGCATGTGGTTCTAACTCTCAAA